GCGCCTGCCTCGCGGGGGCGCGCGCGGGGGCGCGCGGGGGGAGGGGAAGGGGCGCCAGAACGCGGATCCCCGGCTCCCGGCCCGAGGCGCGTCGGGCTCCGGACGTCACGGCGCTGGAATCCAAGGAATGCCGGACGCCGCGAGTTCCCTGTGCAGGCCCGGAGGAGCCGCGCGCCTGAGTCGGGTGGCTCTGGAGCTGATTGCAAAGGTGGAGCCGGGGCTGGTGTGCGACTCCGTGGGAAGAGACGTGGGAGTGGGGACGGCGGGGCGCCTGTGGTCAGTCAAGGCCTAGGAGGCAAGGAAGTGCCCAGCCTGATGCCTTTAGGCAGCCGGCCCGAGAGCAAGGACACCAGCCTTATTTGGGGGACCCCGAAGCTGAACGTTCCCGCGCGCGGAGAAAGTAAGGTGGCCTAGCTTAGCACTCTGCGGAACGCCCCGACTCCCGGCCGCGTGCCGAGCCCCAACTGTCTTCTCCCTCCCCACCCCCGCCGCCAGGCCGCCTATGCCACGAACTGGGGTATGTGGTCTGCCCGGTTGCTCCGTGCCACCGGCCCGCCCCACCCGGGCTGCCAGGGTAGGCACTGGGAGGGAACTTCCCTGGCATTTCGGGAGGTGGAATTAATGAGGCGCAGCTGGCAGGATGGAAAAGCACCGAGCTGAGTCGGGCGGGAGGACTTGGGCTCAGGCCCTGCCCAACTGTGGACCGACTGGGCAACTGAGGCATAGAACTCCAGCCTCCAGATGGATCCCTGGTTTCTGTCGCTGTAAAATTAAAGAGCTTGCCTACATTTCTGTGGTCCTCTGCATTGCCTCAAACGTGTCTTGGCCAGGACTCAATCCCAGTCTTTTCAACCATACAACAACGTTAAATTCTTGGTCACAGAAGATATCTCAACTCCAAGGTCAGGAACTCACAAAAATCCAGGCTCCCTGGGGAAGAAAGCTGGAAAGCAGGAAGCACAGCCTCCTGAATCCACCACGTGCAGACTATCTGCGTCCCATCTGCAGGATCTGGAGAATTATAAGGACCTTGGAGACCACACAAAAGGGAGGAAGAGAACAAAATTCAGTCACTCCAACCTTCAAGGAAATAGCCCTGCTGGGTCTGGCAGGACCACAGTAGGGACTCCATGCTGGGTGGCAAGCAGTGTGGGTGCCTTGTTTTCCCCACTTCCCAGATCAGCAGCTGGAGGCTGAAGGCCATCAATCACATGTCTCCCCAGGGGTCATACAGGAGAGCCTGCTCTTAACCTCCGAAGTTTGACCAAACAGCACATGGATTAAAGATGAGCAAACTCAACGTATCTACCCCTTGCTGGGAGCTGGGAGCCCCTTGGCATCTGGCAAGTGGAAAGGAAGAGGCCTGTTTGTGCTGCTTTAAAGTCACCAAGCTACCAAGCACCTAGCACCCCAGCCCGCTGCAGTCTAGGAGGACCAGCGATTGCACTCAAACCCAAGACTTGCTTCTGCTTCTGATGGCCAGGTGACCCTGAGAAGGCAGCTACCTGTGAGGCCTGAGTTTATTTTTAAGTGGGGGGTGACATAGGGACAGAGTCCAGTAGGACTTGTCCATCTGAAGACCTTTTCTGGAACCAACTGGGCATGAGCAACTTCTCTTCCAGACTGCCTGCAGAGGATGCCCAGCGAGATACCTCCAGGCCTCATGGAAACTTAAGTGCATTGTGGGAGCTGGGAATGAACCCGGGAGTCCAGGGACTGCCCCCAAGGGCCCAGTGATCATAAAGCTGAGCCCAGCTTAAGCTCATAGACCCATTATTTAAATTTAAATATATTTACTCCTAAAAGTAAAAAGTGTATCATTAATTTGAAATTTTTTAGACTGACGCATTCTTTTTTTTAGAAAAGAAAAAAAAATCAAGAAAAGGGAATACAAACAAGATTGGCAGAGGTTGTAGGGATTTGAACAAGGGCTTCCACATGGAGCTACAGCCAGCCCTTTTTATTATCATCACCACTTACTTGGAGTCAGGGTCTCCCTAAGTTGAAAAATTGCCCAGGCTGGACTCAAACTTGGTGTCTTAAGAGTGCTGGAATTATCCAAGTACTTCACCTTGAAGCAAACTTTGAGATTGGATATCTTAGTGGTACAGTGCCTACCTAGCATGTATGAGGCCCCAGGTTCCAGCCCCAGCACTGCAACTTGAAGTGATTTTTAAAAAGTAAATTCTCTAGATAAATAGGTACATAGATAGCTATTTATTCTCTAGATAAATAGGTACATAGATAGCAAATTATAAGCTTCTTAAAAAAAAAAAAAAAAAAGCAGCCCATTTCCTAAGCCTGCCACACACTCAAATCTTAGTACGCATCAGAACGATAGTCAGTTGGGTATTGGGTTAGGCTCTATTTTGGAGTATTTTGCGGTGTTTTTATTTTATTTATTTATGTTTTGGTTTTTTGAGACATGATCTCACTATAAAGTCCAAGCTGCTCTATGAACACATTATGTCGTTCTTTTTTTAATTTTTTTTTAGGAAAAGGTTTCCAGGGTCTACAGGGTCTCACTAAGTAAATCGGACTCATAATGATCCTCCTGTTTACAGCCTTCCAAGTGCTGGGATTACAAGCCAACGCCACTATGCTTAGCCTCAGTCTGTGCCTCAGCGCACCCAGGGGCGGGGCTGGCACAGCAGGCCAGGGGATCAAACTCCCAGCCCCTGCATCTGCCTAAGCAGGTGCTTTAATCCCCTGAGCTATCTGGCCAGCCTTCTCATTACATCGTCTTGATCTCAGCAATTCTCACACCTTAGCCTCCCAAGTGCTGGAATTAGAAGAATAAACCACTGCCCCAGACTGGAAGAGGCACTGAACCTACATGTTGACTTTGAAACTGCAATTTTAGGAACTTATAGTGTTATATTTCCTGAAGCAATGTTTATTTTAGTAGCAAGCCTTATTCAAACTATAACTATGGGATACCAGGTGGAGTCCTCGCATGGGTCTCCTCCTCCAGAGTGCTCTCATCACAGTATCTCTCTTAGGGCTTCAGAGACCCTGGAGTCATGGAAAGCAGGCAGGTCCCACATCGAAGAAAACCGGAAAGTTAGCAGATTTGTTGGAAAAATCCAATCGGCTTTCCAGCGTCCTCCACAAGTGTTAAAGCCACACATGTACAGATGCACACCCACAGAGGGAGAAAGCATGTCCAGAAAACCCATCGTTCCTCAGTCCTAGGTTCCCATGGCCTCCTCCCAGATGTAGGGCCAAATGGGTTGGGGTATGAGTACTTTTCTGTGTGTGTGTGTGTGTGTGTGTGTGTGTGTGTGTTTCTAGATATTAAAACATAGTTAACAAAAAGCATAAATCTCAAACATATGTACAACTTGAATGTATAGCTGCTGGCATCCATGCCTGTGGCCACATCCATGTCATTGTACAGAAAATGCCCATCAATCTCAACCTTCCTCCTGTAACAGAAAATGCCCTCCCATTCCCGCTGCTAGTACACTTCAGTTTTTTAGTTGCCCAGGTAATAGTTCCTGTCACCATTCTAGTTGCTCCTGTCACGTAGAAACAGCTAATTACTGTGATGCACATTGTATAAACCAATCCCCAAGTGACAAGACCTTCCCACATAAACTCTAGGCCACCAGAGTCAAGGCTTGATATTCTGGAAATGATCCCGATCAGTGTGGTGCATGGATGTAAATAAATAGGCCTCCAGATGTTGGGTGTTGTGGCGGTGTTTCTGCTTGCTCTTGCATTTGGTGCATGAGCTGAGAAGATCAATTATGCTGACCTCTTTCATAGGCAGTTGTGGCCCTCATGGACAGAGCAATGACCTTTCCATGTCCTGAGAGGAAAGTGTACCCTCAGTTTCTCAAGTCCCCTCTGAGGACTGGAAGAGGATTCCTGGCTTCCTGCTTGAACAGCTTACATCAGACCACAAAGGGAAAAGAACACAGTCTGTCCTGTCTATCTGCCTGCCTGCCTGCCTGCCTGCCTGCCTGCCTGCCTGCCTGCCTGCCTGTCTGCACACCTGCCTGTCTGCACACCTGCCTGTCTGCACACCTGCCTGTCTGGTTCCAGTAAGAACCATGGAGAACCCTGCTTAATCTGTGAGTCCTACTCGCTGGAGCAGAAGGAGAATCTGATCAACTCTCCTTAGTCAGGACTACCCTCAAGGGAAAGGCGTTGGGATGTTTCACCTCTGAGTGCCTGCTAAATGAATATGTGAATGAGCGGAGCAGACAGCACAAGCAATAAGCTGCTCTGTCTGTGCACCAAGACTAGGAAGCACTGGCCGCTGGGGCTGATTGGGCCCTCACCTTGCGGCTCAGCAGCAATCCACATCTGGCATAAAGGAGGCCTCGCACCCTCTTTAGCGAAGTCATGCCCTAGTCCCTGTGAGGGGCACCATCAGGTGGGCATCTGAAAGGCCTCACTCTCGGGCACCCAGGCTTTGTCTGTTGCACCATCATTCATGGGTATAGAACACACACACATAGGAAGTGAGAGATGGGAATTAATTAGTCAAAACCCACAGACCCCGACTGTAGAAAAAGGGCTTTTGCAGAGAGAAAAAAAAGAAAAAAGAAAAAAGAAAAACACTTCCTGAATTTGAGAGAAAAGAGAAAGAATGAATGAATAGAAGGAAAAAAAAAGAACAAAGAAGAAAGAAAAAAAGAAAGAAAGAAAGAAAGAAAGAAAGAAAGAAAGAAAGAGCATTCTTCCTGAGAATTCTGCTTTGGCACCTTCATCAGCCACCACAGTTGCTGTCTTCGTTATAGCTTGTATCTAGTTGTCCCCCCAAAGCCTCCTGCAGTCATGGGGTGGGCTTCCAGAGTTTGTGATTAATTCATCATCCAATGGGATTATGGGTATGAGTGCTACACCTACCCTGGACAGCCAGCCTGAAAGCCATAGAAGGAAG